CTCTCTCGTGAGCCTTTTTGAAGGTTCCTTTATATGGAGCTTTGATTGTCTCATTCCTGGTGTGTCCCACCATGTTTCAAGGAACTGCCTCTGTAGCATTTCCTTCATGAAGGACATAGCCGTACTATTGGGTATTCCCAATATCGGTTCTGGTCCAATGGGTGTCGTTCCTGAACCGATCTTGGCTAGTCTGTCTGCCTCCTCGTTCCCCGGGATACCAGAGTGTCCTGGAACCCACATGAGGCTGACTTTCCTAGTTTTTGCCATATTTTCTAAGGCACTTCTACACTCGGACACCAATTTAGTTGTGATCCTATTGGATCTCAATGCCATAATAGCAGCTTTACTGTCCGAGCATATGGTGACTGGTCCACGTCCACTTCTGCGGAAATTTTCTTGGACACACGTCAGAATTGCAAACACTTCGGCCTGGAACACTGAAGCGTATTTGCCAAGAGGTACTGAGAACATTAATATTAAAGAAAAAAAACCTTCTACCTTTGTTTCCACTTCCAGTTTTTATTATAATGATATTAAACTTTTACTAGGAATATCTGTAATCATTATAAACCCGAGAACGCTAGCGCCTGAACAGATACGGTGATGCAAGGGCTGGTCGTTTTGACCGACTTTGAAATCCTCAATTTTGTCAGTATTTGTGTTTATTTTGGTATCCAGCTACTGATATACTTTTTATAGAAATTTTATCGACTATAAACAAAAAGTAGGCATGTTTTTGAACGAAAATAAAAATGACGAACTCGTTATGTAATTAAAAATACAAGTGTTCGATTTCTGTTTCATAATCCATTATACAAAATGAGTACGTATAATACGTATCCAAAATAAATTATCAGTTATTATCTATTAGATTTTGTCACATTTATTTGAATATAACCCCTAATTTTATGTAAACAATTATTAATTTGGTACAAACTTGAACATGATGGCGCGTCGGTGGAAACGAAGAATTGTCAATTTTCAGCTTCTAGCAACAATCTTTCACAAAAACCAAAAGAATAGATTGGTTCGACAGTTCGACTTAGGAAGATAATTAATCAGTCATATCGATCAGAAAATTTGAAAACCGTATTGCCACCCCTAAGAATGTTCTGAAAAAAATATCAGAGGGTGAGGGTGGTTTAAACCCTTCTACAATTTTTTTGGGTTTCTTTGATTACCGAAAGAAGGGTGATCCTCTAAAATGCACTTTAGTCGAATTTCATCCAATTCGTTTCACTCATTTTTCATGTAAACTTTGAACTCATCTCACGTACAAACGGTACATTTTGTTATATAAATAAATTGGGTCCAATCAACTTATTTTCACCTGTATTACATTTGGGACACCCTGTATATATACTAACTAGGATCGTTAAATACGATTATAATGGGGAAGTTTCCTTCAGATGAATTTTCATAAAATAAGTTCGGAAGCAATTTCTAATTTTCGGGGCTGCAAACTGTGACGTAGATTCTGAATCTAGTCTGAAAATAGCTGATGGTGAAGAATATAGCTAGCGAATAGCTAACGAATGAAAAAATAGAAGTGGTTTTGTTGTTTATGCATTGAAATATCTGGAATAGAGCTCGATCCTAAACGAAAATATCATTGAATCAATGATTCAATCCTTCCTTATTTACTGCCATCGGTCAGAAAGAATGAAGCCGACACCCATGGCTCCTTCCTCATATTGTGCCTGTCAGTATTTTGAGTAGTGTGGACGGACTCGAAATATTAAGGAACGAAATCATTAAAATGACTGACAAGTTATGAGTAACATATTGTAATATAACGATAGTGAAAAGTAATAGATACTATCGCAAAATATCATAATTTATCTTTATTTTTCATCAACTTCATTCAGCCAATGAGATTTATGGGAATTATTCATAATACTTGATACAGTAGGTTTGAATAACTATTTATATCCCATTGCTGTTATGATATAGTTATCATGCATTCAAAGAACAATGTCCAGAAATCTAGACATATTGATGATGTCGGCAACGTCGTACTGGCACAGGGAATCGTATTTTAACTCTGTGTGAATGTGGATTTTCATAAAGTACGTCATAGAAATGGTGGAGGAACCAAGTTCCTCTTTTATTTATTTTTTTCTGAAGTGGAATTTGATCTTACGAAAAAAAGAAAAAATACGTATATATTATTTTTTCACAAACTTCACAGAGAGATAAAAACCTCAATATAGGAAACTTCCCCATTATCATCCTTATAGCTATAGGTAAATCTTTGGGGTTAGATATATGTATAGAAAATCTTATATCAGTTGAAGAAAATTCAATCTAGAGTTCAGTTATTTGATTATATACAGAGGGTTTGATCTAAAAAAAAAGAACTTCCGGAGTTATCAAAAATTTTGAATTGACTCGGCCGTTACTAGATGAAAATCCATGACAAATGTAAAAACTTCACAAACGATAAGATTTCCACAAAATTCTCGAACACACGACATGTTTCGCTAACACAGTAGCTTCCTCAGGTGATATACTGGTACAATGTTCTCCTTTTGAATGTTCAACAGACATAATTCAATGTTAGACGTGGCAAATAGCCAGGAAAGTAGTTGTTTTCTGTTGAATATTCAGAATGCATATACGTGTTTTTGTCTGAAGGAGAATGCAAATTCTCAATTTCAGAAGTTTTTATATTTTATTTTCAAACTCTTATCGTGCGTGTTCAATAGATATAATTCAATGTTCGTCGTGGCATATAGCCAGGAAAGTAGTTGTTTTCTATTGAATAAACTCAAAAAGAGTAAATATTCTCATCACATAGAGAATGCGAATTCTCAATGTATTGCTTTATATAAATATATAACCATTTTTGTATGTTCATAATTTATCTGAGAATATTCCTTTTCAACACTTTCATACCCAATCAGGGTGTTCAAACCATATTCAAACTTGAACGATGGAAACTTGTGATTTTTATAGACCTCTAATCGCAGATTCGTGATAGAGTCTCAATTCAGAATTTCTTTCCACGCCCTGTATGATAAATGTCAATTTATCATACACCCAAAAGCAAAAACGTCCAAATGACAGGAATAGAATGTCAACAAATTTTCTCAGATGTCATTTCGTTATAGTATTACTCGGTTTCAGTTGTATTATAGAGAGATGAAAATTGTGTATATCATGAAGAATGGCTGTAAGAATATGTGGACATCATGGTTACTGATGAAGATTCAGAAATCCGAAATGGTTTCATTGCAATAAAGTCATATAACCTGTGTGTGAGAGATAATATTTCCCATATCACTGATATGAATGATTATTTTTGGAAGTTTTCAAGCTCATCAAGATCAGAGTTTATGCCAGTATACTTCTCCTATACATCCCAATTTTCATTTCAACGCTGAATATATTGGTAAGTTATATTTCTTTATCATTATTCATCATATTATTCATCCGATTCGAAGGAGAATGTTAATTCTCAATTTCGGAGGATTTTATTCCTTATTTTTCATGTTCTCCTTTTGAATGTTCAACAGATATAATTCAATGTTCGACGTGGCAAATAGCCAGGAAAGTAGTTGTTTTCTGTTGAATATTCAGAATGATAGGTGCATATACGTGTTTTTGTCTGAAGGAGAAGGCAAATTCTCAATTTCAGAAGTTTTTATATTTTATTTTCAAACTCTTATCGTGTGTGTTCAATAGATATAATTCAATGTTCGTCGTGGCATATAGCCAGGAAAGTAGTTGTTTTCTAATGAATAAACTGAAAAAGAGTAAATATTCTCATCACATAGAGAATGCGAATTCTCAATGTATTGCTTTATATAAATATATATCCATTTTTGTATGTTCATAATTTATCTGAGAATATTCCTTTTCAATTCCATACCTACTTAGTGCAAACTCGAAATTTTACACAAAAACCGTAATAATTCGGAAACTGTTTAAGATTACTGTAGGGACATATTTTACGATTGTAGACTGTGTATACTCTATAGTCTATACTAACCTAACAACTACTTCAAATGATCGTTGAAATAATAAAATTATACCCTTCTTGACTCGAATATTCTTGTATCAGTTGAAGCAGAATTCTATTGTGCGCAGATATTTGATGAGACATTTTTGACCACACACTGTGAAAGTTTTGATAATGAAAATCTGAGTTTCATATTCGATAATTTACAAGATAAAGCATTTCCAAAGGTACTATAGGTAGAAATTTTCCACAAAAATCGTAAATAATTGGTCGAAAACTCTTGAAAATTACTATTGGGACGTAACTCACGATTTAATTTCTCAAAATCCTCTCACTTCGCCTAGTATTAGAACTGATTATTTTCTTCGTATAATTTTAGACCAATCAGAACGTTCAATTGAGCTAAGCCATCTTGCATAATTTCGATTGTACGTGGATATACATAGAGTAGTTCCATCAATCAGAAATTTGGAATTATTTCCATTTCCATTGTAACCAATTGTTACCAAGGTGGATAGAATATGGTGTAATCACAGACAGTGTTTTGTTTCTCCCAAATCGCTTGACCGCAGATTCCGCAATACTGGTATATTAGTTCTCAGTTGTAGGCAAGATGGCGACACTTTGTACAGATTTGATGATATCGTAAGATTCATAGCATAACCTCAAATCAAATTTGGGTAATTTTAATTATCATCAGTTCTACCAACCTTGAATTTTGGTTCTGATTTCGCCATCAAAAGGGTAAAATGCGACGTATATTTCGCGATATTGAAAAGAATTCATCTGTCAAGTAGGCCGTAGGTCAAGAATTTTGACCGAAAAACATTAGATGGGATTTGAAAGGAGTTCCTACACCATCTTCTGTTCATCCTGATTGTAACATACAAACAAAGCGTGTCGTCAAAATTTGACGTTCGTTCAGAACTAATCAAAAAATAATCGCATCAAATACAAGTCGCTTCGCGGTCGGATTACTTCAACTGTTAAACTGACACTCTTTGTGATTATGCAACATTTTGAAGTATTCATAGTATTACAACTGATTATCTGCCCAAGATTCCCCTCCATTCCCCAATGCATTCCTCAATCGTAAATAGCATATAGGATTATTGGTGAATACTTTTTCCTACAAACTTCAAAAAACGACAAGGTTCAAAATAGTGCGTTTCAAGTAATATAGTTTGCGAAATACATACTTCGCGCACTGCATGTAAATTCAATTAGATGTTTTATTGACGTTTGTAAAACATTTTGTTTGCAACTCGTGCGTGAAATACTTTGCTACTACTCTTGATTACTAAAGTAGCATTTCTATCTATTATAGAGGAGTGCTTTAGACTATTCATTTATCATCAGCTCGTACAGGTGAACTTTGTTAAATTATTGAATAAGATGAACCCCTCAAATGATATGAAAGGCACTAACTAGAAAAACTTTTCCTTATTTTTATTGTTGGCGCAGCTCAATGTTTTTCTAATTTTGCATGAAAGTCAACTTGTATCATCAAAAATAAGACATTCTCTCAATCTGACTTGGTTGTTTTGTAACAAAGAAGATAATCTATTGTGAAAAACTTACCTGCATCAATATTTCGCCCCATCTACCTCTTTCTGCGACATTTTTGAACAGCTCTACTGCCGTGGGACAAGATCTCAGCATCCCTGTACCTTGTGAATGCATTTGTCCCAAGTTATAGTAGGCCAACACATGGCCCGATTGGGATGCCAATGAAAAGTACTTGTTAGCCATCTTGAAATCCTTCTTAACACCCAAACCACCTAGAATCAACGGTCATGTTCATGACTATTTTGGACAAGTCATGCTAATCGAAGGCATTTTTCGCTTAAATTCGATTAGTGTATACAACCCTTGATTATTTACTGTAATAAGATGATCCACCTCCATGTAAAATGTTGAAGCCAAATTTGGTATTAGTTATTGGCCGGTTCGTAGGCAGCGATAGCCAAACTCGGCAAAACATTGTTCTTAAAATTGTCCTATCCGTCATTCGGTGGCAACCCTTAGAAGTATTCGAGAGACTTGGGCCCTACCTTTTAACGTGAGATCCCAAACACTTTCTTGGGTCATAATGTCTGCAGTCGCGGGGAATTGAGCCCACGACCGGCAAGCGGCAGAATACTGACGCTTCGTCAGAATACTGACGCTTCGTCCGCGCGGTCCTTATAATCATTTATAATATGATCGAATTATCTATACTCTCGAAATCTGCTAGAGTCCATCTATCTACAAGTTGCTGAACTATCTAGAAATATCCTTTCTAAAGCAGGAAAATAAATAAGTTTGTTATTCTGAACACATACTACTTTTACAAGTCAACAGGGTATATAAAAGTATATAAAACTTGTATGAAATGACCATAGAGTAAGAAGAATACTTGACAATCAAAAAGAAGAACAGACAACGAATACATTGAACGACACACATTTTATATATTTAAACAGCTTCAACATATTAGAACAAGTTTAAAATGCCATTAACCCAGATATGCCTAAATCTTTTTGAAGGGTTCAGAACTTTGAATGCTCCATATTTCATCTGACTGTGGTCAAAATAAATCAAGTGTACGTATTTAATAATTTTTCTTCATTGAGATATACAAAAATCTGGCCGTCCTACATTTAGGACATTAACCACATGCGGATGACAATTGAAACTGGTTATGTTTTTTGATAATACATGATGAAACACTATGTGTGAAGTCCAACGTCATAATTTGAGCACCTCGTAGTAGTTTCTTGATAGAACAAGGCACATCTAATTTGGTTGACGTGTGGAATCACTAAATGATCAAGTTAGTGATATCTTCTTTCATTCTCTTCCCTTTCTGTCTTTGGAGATTGTCTCAGTTACAATTAATTTTTCTTCTTCTTCTTTTTTCCAATATATTCTCCTGTATGGAACTCGAATATATCATATGAGAATCAAGTCTCCGATGAGGCATGTCATCTCAGATATTTAGATATTGCCTTTTGTGTCATGTTGTATGGGTTGCGTGCAAGAACTGTCAGATGACCGACGCTGGAGGCAAAACATTGAAACACAACGTCACTTTTCTCATTTCTTTACAAGTGATCCAAATAGTTTTCCACAATTATTTTGGCATATGAATATTATGAATCGTATTTTTCCGCTATTCATCAATTCGCTCATGCCATCACATTGTGCTGTTGTGAAATGCACAAAAACTGCAGCGGAAGATGAAGGAATCCGGATGGTACATTATGATTTAAAAGTAAGTACTATAGTCACTCACGTATAGTTTTCTTTTTTGGAATTTGGTTATTTCTCTGATTTCTCAACGGAATTTCTTCTGCAATAGAAGCTAATAGAAATATACCTGAAATTTCTAGAATAATGCAAGAAGATTGGATTCATGCAATCAATCGGGAGGACTGGTCTGACATGCTGACGATCGTGTGTGTTGTAGACATTTTCAATATCTATTAGCAGTATTAGCTTGTATTGCAGAAGTGGCAGAAGGCAGAAGGAATTTTAATAAGGAATGACAACATTTCATAATGATAACTATGTGAGATTACTATTTACCTGAAAAATCATATTCCCTAGTCTCTTGCTGCATTTTTTGTGCATTGTACAACAGCACAATGCGAAGGCATGCTTGAATTAATGAATAACGCAAGAAACACGATTCGTATGCCAAAATATTGTGAAAAACTATTTAATCCTTTTGATTCCTCTGTAAACAAATAAAAAAGTGAGGTTGTGTTTCAATAATTCTCAGAAGAGTGAGGTTGCGTTTCAATATTTTGCCTTCAGGGTCGGTCATCGTGCACGCGACCTATTGATATATTTTAAGTTGGTACTGTAACCGTGGACACTGACGTGACAGTGTTGACATAATGTGTGGTTGACAATTGACACCAGACATCCCGCCAGAATTAGATGGATGGATGGCCTCTTTTTAGTTTCTCGAATTATCAGTTCCAAGATAGGTTCGTCAACAAATTTTGAGAATAATTCTAGTCGGCCAACAATTTTTTTCATGGTGAGCAAATCTCTTTCAATCCGATCGATTATTTTCCATTTTTTGCTTTTACTCTCTTGGATTTCTTCTTCTCTTCCTCTATCATTTTTTTATCTCAGATAATGGCACACTATCCTCTGAAGCTGAATATTCAACACCAACCTGACCTACATTGTGACAAAAATTCAACTCAAGAACTCAACTGGAGTGCGAAGTTCAGATCCTGGCATCTTGTTTATAGAAAAGTGTTCTTTCCTGAATCTGTCAACTCAGTAGTTGCGTTGATTGGAGGAAAAATTGTTATATCCTGAATTGCATTCATCTTTACATTATCATATTCTTCTAATATAGCGATTGCTTCATAGAAGGAAAAACCTCTACCAAATGAAAAAAGGTCATATAGCTGCCTAATGTCCCATAAACCTACCTGATCATTTAGACCACGAATTGGATTTGAACATAACTATAATAATGAAAAAATTACTCACCAAGCAAAGCGTACATTGTAATCATCCATTTGCTGAAATAACCTTACTTCAAACTGTTGTTGAGCATAAATCAAGCGAGTCTGTGAATATTTTTTACATGTCCATAATCATTTTATGTGAAATGAATGCGTATTCATGCCATAATAATCAGTGCCCCTTCTAGTGCGTTGCAGCCTGTGGTAGTCTAGCACGAAATTCCCTCTCCCCCCCTATTCGAATATATATGAAAATCAATGTCTTCTGAAGTTATTCCGATTTTGTTTCACATAGACTAGACAGTGAATGATGAAAAGGCACGGAAGGGTGAGCAACCTCACCCCAACATGGCCATCTCTAGAGCATTCGCGGTATTTTATACCTGCAATAATTCTAATACAGCGTCGTTGTAACTTGAAAATTTTTGCATTACTGATCTCTACCGTTCGCTACTCAACAAAAAGTAGTTCTCTTTGTCACTCAAAGATACTGCCACCTACTGAATAGAATTTCTGGCTTCATTGCTCTCATAAGGGTGGATCTTGTTAGTGTACATAATCAAGGATACAACCCTATTGTTTCGATTAGATACTTACTGAAATACATATTTCCCAGTTGCAATTGCCCGTCCACCCATCCCTGGTCAGCAGCTTGCAAGAAAAACTGATAAGCCTTCGAATAATCCTTTTCGACACCTCTGCCATATAGATACATCAGACCCAAACCGCTCAATCCGACAGGGTTATTCAGCTCCGATGACTTCTTGAAGTACTTGAAGGCTGTGTCATTGTTCGACGGTATTTCATCGCTGCCGTCCAAATAGATCTTGAAATATAAAAATTGTGAAGATAGGTGGATAGTTTTATCAGACGATTCATGGTTCTGGTTTCGAGCAGTTGGCCTGCTTGTAGTAAACGCGGAAACACGAAATGATTGTAAAGGTTAGAGTGTCGCGTCCATGTCGACTTTATGTGTTCGTAATTTTCATGTTTTATATTCAAGTATATTGATAGGCTAAACATTAATTGAACCAAGCCATTATAATGCGATTTTTCAAATTCAAATTACCCTCCTTGAGTACTTGGCAAAGCTTCGTATCTTCAGATATCATCCACGGAATCGCCCGAAGATCGGACACACTCTATTTTGAAACACTCTCAATTAAGAATTCATAGACACAAAACGCTAGTCCTCTGTGCCTCTCAAATCCGAACATATTTAATCAATCTCAAAGTCGCATCGCACATAACTTGTGAAGTGCATCACGTGCCATTTATCATCCCACTCATTCAGAACCCAGGTTCCAGAGTCCAGATCATCGGCTCCAGAGAAAATTGGGAAACGCCGACAGACCCGGCGTTTTAAGGTATGAAGTGGCACCAAGTTTCATTATAAAATTATTTATATGCAGTCCATTCTCATTCTCTCTTAACATAAAGCATATTCGCATTTTTACTGAGGCAGAAGTTGTAACGATGTATACCCTAGCGATGACAGTTTCAAAATTCAGAGGTAGCCTAATGACACTCGAATGAAACCTATAATTGAAACGTTTGCTTTCAAAATGAGGGGATTTGGATGTTTCATACCATTTTTGAACCCATATCTTTGCGTCCATTGCTAGAACTATAGGCTAATGGTAAGTTCCACTAAAGACTCACAAGAATATATAATGCAAATTTTGTTGTTTGTCTTTTTTTCCAGAGGAGGTGGTTGTCCCTCCAAGGCTCGTCTGACCGAAGTCTCCGATGACATTTGGACCTGTTGGCCCATTGTATCTTATCGTAGATATGCCGTTATTGATTTCACCATACGACCCATGGTTCTAATATGTATACGGCCAACATCAACTAGCGTCACAGTAACTGTAAGCACTGTCGCTCACAGTACCAGAGGTTCGTTTCAAATAACCTTTTCGTTCAGGTTCATGTAGACTACTCTTCCGAGTAGTGTTGCCAACTTAGTGGATTTCACACTAGAACTGGTGGTTTGAGTTTTCGTTTTGAGACAAAATATGGCATCTAGAGGATGGTGTTTATTTTGGTGAATTTTTTCAAATAAATGGTGAAATCTGGTGGTTGAGGACCTCCGTCCGAAATTCTCCTTGTTTTATAAATGATCCAATTTCAACAATGTAAAACTAGAGAAAAGTTTTTATAGAAAAACTAGTTTTAAATGAAATCACTTTCTAACGGTTATGTCCACATTTTGGCTATTTTTGTAGGATCTCAAATGTTGTTTGTCACTGACAAGCTAGTGAATGTTTCTTTCAGGCTCTCTGATAGGAAATTTATTTAAACGCAGTGACATCTGGAATAATAAATATATATTGAGTAACAATTTTTAAAAATTTCAAAAGGCAAAGTTTAGGATGCTCCGTGAGGGGCTCCTGTTCTTTTACTTAACCCTTGACTTAAACCTAAATATAGAGAAGATAAGAGAGATAAAATGAGAGAGAGAAAGAGAGTGAGGAGGAGAGAAGGGAAGAGTATCAAGAAGGGAGGTGATGTCCTTGTTTGAGGTAGTTAATCAAATAATTTTTGAAAGAGAGATATGATGCGTTGTAGAGGTTATTGATGGTTCCGGTAAGGTTGACAGAGGTGGCGATGCGATAAGTGAAACAGCGTTTCAATTTTTTTTCTATGCTTGGGTATGGATATGCGGGAGGAGTGACCGGTATTCCTATTGTGTATGTCGGATCTATAAACATATTTATTAAATAGATAACTAGGTTTTTTTAGATTTTAATAGTTAAAGCAGAAACAGCTCATGTGCATAAATCTTCTATTATTTATAAGTCCTGTAATTTATTAGATACTCTATCGCGACGTTTCATTCCAAAGATCAGCCTTATGAAGGAGTTTTGAATTTTTTGAAGCCTTTTCTTGTCGAACTCCGTTAGCCAGGCACCATAGACTATATCACAATAGTTTAGATGTGATAAAACTAATGTTTCACATAACTTTTTTATGTTTTTACTGAGGGAGAAGCGATGGGGGTATATTAATTTTAGAGCAGAGTAGCTTGTATTTAGTATCAGATTTACGTGCTGAGAGAATCTCAATTGAGAATCAAGTATCAGCCCTAGGCTCTTAATTGTATAGCTTCATTTCCTATTTGTATATTTATATTTTGCAAAATTCTGGTAGCATCGGTCTCGTTTGGGCTGAACAAAATTGCAATTGATTTTGATGGATTTATTTTGAGTAGGTGTTCGTTGCTCGTAGAAAGAAGAGATTGAAAGTCGACATTCAGTAAGTAATTGGACAAAATAAAATTTTTGGGGTCGAATGATAAAAAAATTTGGGTGTCACAGCGTACATATGATAGTTACAATACTGCAAGCGCTCATGAAATGTAGCAGTCTATAATGCTATATACAGGATACTACCTTGAGGGACTCCTGCTACGATATTCAATGAATCACAAATATGATCTTTCAGTGCCACTTTCTACGTCCTATATTAAATTATAGAAACCATGGCAGCTTGGAGCAGGAATGTCCCACAGCCAGTAAGCCAGGTAAGTGCTGGATAAGCAGTCTGGCCTGCTCAAGTCAGCTTTCTGATCCACAGGTCGAAACGTTGTTGGCTACCTACTGTTTTGAAACTACAATCGACATGCTAAGCAGGAGGTATATGCAGGCTGGTGTACCCAGGGTACCATGCAGAAAACAAAAGCAAAGCAGGCAATAATATAAGCATCTGTTGTTATAGCAGTAAGTACACTTATTGACTACTAGAAATGGTTTTTGGCCCTGCAAGTAATAATGCTACTATGTAGAAATTCATGAAATAAGCTGCAGAAATGCTTGATTCAACCCATACCTTGTTCTCAGGTGGCCAGATGTATCAACTACAGCGAGTAGTGAAAATGATATCTGATAATCAAATTCTGACTAGGAATTTTATCCCTTGGCAGGTAGTAGGCAGTGGACCGTCCTTTGACTACTTATATTTCCTAGTAAGTTTTGATTATACAATTTCAATCCGCAATAATGCGATGGCACGTTTCAATACCTTCATAGGTTATCAGAAAGAGCCCAGTCAAATTCACTATTTTGGAGGTACTTTCCCAGAATCCAGCCAAAATGACCCACTTGTCAGGTTATACAGTTTTAGGTTATTAAGTTGAGTTAGAATTTATCTTATTTGTAGGTTGAGGACTGACTAAATATTCCAGATGGAGCAGAAGAAGAAGATGACAAAACCCAGAGTCCAGACTAGTGATAACCTTCAACTAATATAGTAAGGTTGATGGTGGATGTTATTTTTCTACAAGGTAAGATCATTATATTGCAAATGTTGTTGATAATTCAACAATATATATGTATTTCACAGATTTGGACCAGAGGAAGCCCACAGTAGAGATCGGACCGAGGATATCGAAGTTGATGTCATGGGTAAGTAACAATGGGGAAATGATTCCTTTTATTAATTGTTTCTCATTATTTTTCAGGTATGCTGGATCTATGCAGCACTCGAAAGAAGATGGAATATCAAGCATGATACCTAAATGATCTGTATAACGATTGAATAAAGGATTTTAGATAACTCTGCTTCTAGTATGTGCACATACTTACATTATATCAAAGTGGAACCGTAACACTCTCTCTAACTAACCGAGGAAATGTTTCAGGCACGTTTTTGTTTTTGAACACTTGTGATGCACAAATTATTTAGTAGCAATTAATGAATGTTACGATATCAAGCTAAAAACTGAATGTCCATTATTGATAATTGAAGTTTTTCAACAACTCAAGAGAAAAGCTGATTGTTACACAAATCCACCATTATATTTATGATGAACATTTCATAAATGACCCTTATGAATAATTTCAGTCTTACCTTCCCCAGATACGCCATTGCCATTGCATTTCCTGCATTTGCTGCTTCCGTGAAATAATGCAATGCCTTCTGATAATCTAACTCAACACCTTTGCCTCCTTGGTAATGCAGTTGACCTAACCCCACCTAAAATGAAAATATTCGTCATGAAAAAGTGAAGGAGGTACTATGTAGATAAATAAATCTATAATTTATCATCCTCAAATTTTGAAAAGTCCATTAATTATCTCTATTTTCTGGGGACAAAACGAAGTTTTTAGCAAATACTCACTTGAGCCTGTACGTCTCCTTTTTCGGCCAATAACTGGTAATATTCAATCAAGTCGTTATCAAGGATTCCAGTAGCATATCCATTTTCCAGTTCATCCAGAAGACGGATTCTCTGAATAGCTAGGCCTCCTCCAAAGGAAACTCCTTGACTGACTGTAACATACAACATGTACTAGTTTTTCTTAGCCTGATTTATTTTGTATATTTGGTATAAAAAATGTCTGTATTGCATATAAGAGTGCGACTCTTCTAAAGAATTATAATATTGATGATTGCTATTATCAGTAATTTTCTTGGAATTGCATCAATAGAATAGAATAGAATTCATTGAGTACCAATAATAGCATGTTATTACAGAGAACTATAATAATTGTGTGTGGTACAGGTCAAATTTCCAAAGAACCTAATCCATTAAGAAACAAAATCATAGGTTATGGGAGACAGCACAGAAAAGACCTTTCAGAATATGTATGATGTGGCCAATGCGCAACGGGGCGACTTTTATTGTGCTGAATGAATCATGGTGCATTTGCTTTACATCCGCAGGAAAACCGTATATTCTGAAATACAGTTCTCAACACACCAAATGGACCACTCATAATTTGACTCTATTTCGAAGACCTGTATTTTTTTAAAAAATTGACCGATCTTCATGCGGTTTTCGATATCAGATGTGATGTTTCATCGGCTTCAAAGAGAGCTAGAACAATCTGAAAAAGTCCGCAAAACAAAACTCACACAGGGTGTAAAGTGGAACCATTACACTATGGTCTACATTTCCAATGCTGCCAGAACTCGAGAAAGTTTTTTCTGATCAAAAGTCAGTCATATTATGATACACTGGGACCTCATCTCGGGACGTTTTCGTGATTTCTCCTTAATTGGCCATTGGAACAAAAATTCGATTTTTTTTCGAAAGTCTTGCATTTCTTGATTTTTTCCTCTAGAACTCCACTTGAGCTGACTATTGGGAAGAACTGTTCTCATGTTTTATGGAGGATAATGAAAGACGAAAAAAGCACTTTTTTGGATTATACAGGATGATAAGAAACTAGGACAAAATCTCATTTCAGTGAAAAAAATCAAAAATGGTGACTAAAACTATGGCCCATTCGATCCAGTATATTCAGAAACGGCCTTCTCGATATCCATCATTTATATTAGACTACTAACTCGAGATGTTTTCGAAAATTCGCCTCTAAGTGAAATACAGGATGAAATTTTTCAATCCAAACTTGTTTCCTGATATCGATGATTTTCAATATTTATTGCTCAAGTAAGAGAAACAGAGAATTGTTGTTCAATATACTGAGTGTTTTACAACTACGATATTACATGAGAAGTCTATCACAAAAAAATTTAATAGAAGTGAAACGCGATGGAAAATAAAATTTGTAACACTTTATATCAACTAAAACTATTCGAAAAGGGTGATAAGAAAATAGGACAATACAGGGTGAAAATTTTCAATTCAAACTTGTTTCCTGATATCGATGATTCTCATCATTTTATCAACGGATTTCCAATATTAATTGCCCAAGTATGAGACACAGAGCATTGTTGTTCAATATATTGAGTGTTCCACAACTTATCTGACAAATTACGAACTCTAGAAAACAATAATGTTAGAAGAATGTGGTGACCAGCATTATCTCCAGATCTGAATTTGATTGAACATGTGTGGAGTCGAATGAAACTTGACCTATTGAGACGGCGAGGCACCCCAAAATAATGACAACCTTATCCAGAATGGGCGGCAATATCAATAGACTTCATCAACAACCTCATAAAATCTATGCCAAACCGATTTCATGAGGTTTTGTTGAATCGGGGAGGCCTACCAAGTACTGAAATTTAGGATATAGGACTTTCTAGTTGGATCTTCATAATGCTGAAGAATTCAATAATGTCATATTTCGCCAATAGAACCTTTTTAGAATAGTTTTAGTGGATATAAAGTGTTACAAATTTTATTTTTCATCTCGTTTTACTTCTATAATTTTTTTTGTGATAGACTTCTTATGTAATATCGTAGTTGTGGTTGAAATTTGTCAGATAAGTTGTAGAACTCTCAGTACATTGAACAACAATACTCTGTGTCTCATACTTGGGCAATAAATATTGGAAACCATCAATATCAGGAAACAAGTTTGAATTGGAAATTTTCATTTAGAGGCGAATTTTCGAAAACGTCTCAAGTTATTGGTCTAATATAAATAATGGATATCGAGAAGGCCGTTTCTGAATATACTGGATCGAATGGGCCATAGTTTTAGTCACCATTTTTGATTTTTTTCACTGAAATGAGATTTTGTCCAGGTTTCTTATCATCCTGTATAATCCAAAAAAGTGCTTTTTTCGTCTCTCATTATCCTCCATAAAACATGAGAACAGTTCTTCCCAATAGTCATCTCAAGTGGAGTTCTAGAGAAAAAAATCAAGAAATTCAAGACTTTCGAAAAAAAATCGAATTCTTGTTCCAATGGCCAATTAAGGAGAAATCACGAAAACGTCCCGAGATGAGGTCCCAGTGTATCATAATATGACTGACTTTTGATCAGAAAAAAATTTCTCGAGTTCTGGCAGCATTGGAAATGTAGACCATAGTGTAATGGTTCCACTTTACACCCTGTGTGAGTTTTGTTTTGCGGACTTTTTCAGATTGTTCTAGCTCTCTTTGAAGCCGATGAAACATCACATCTGATATCGAAAACCGCATGAAGATCGGTCAATTTTTAAAAAAAATACAGGTCTTCGAAATAGAGTCAAATTATGAGTGGTCCATTTGGTGTGTTAAGAACTGTAGTAATTTACGTAGCAAGTCCGGAAAATATTGTTTCTTTGGACGAGTAGGTCAAAATTCTAGGCCGAGCCGTAGGCGAGTCCTGGAAGTCTGCAAGTCCAAAAAAAATGTTTTTGGACGTGTTGCGTACACTATACAATGAAATGTCTTCTTTATCAATTATCATTTGTATCAAATACTGAAATTTTAACAGAATACTTATACCTACTAACTATTGCATTGGAAATTTCGTATGGACTTTTTCAAACTCACTATCGCAGCTGCTTTCGATAGTTTATTGCGATAATTGCAACCATACTTTCAAAAATCAAAATGTCAACTAATTTCATGTCAAATAGCTGTCAGCCGATATTTCGCTGCTATGGTAATCATCATCTGCATTTATCAAAAGCAATCTACCAACGTTTCATAGTTACAGTGACAAAAACGATGTGATGATTTAAAATTAGAGAACCACTACATAGAAAACAAACAGCACACTAAATTCCTAGGAATTTACATAGACAATAAATTAAATTTCAGAGAACATGTAACCCATTTGAGTAAAAAGGTTTCTAGTGGATGTTATGCAATAAGAGTGATATCAAATGAGCTAGGGTATGCTACAGCTAGAATAGCTTACTTTGCATTGATCGAATCTCATATTCGCTATGGAATAGCTTTCTGGGGCCATTGTAATTTACAGTTACTGAATACAATATTTGCACTTCAGAAGAGGTCATTGAGATATGTTACAAAGTCTAAATCGAGAGATCACTGCAAGCCTCTATTCATTAATCATAAAATATTAACTGTCACCTGTCTATACACAATGGAAATAGGATGCTTAATTCATAAAAATACAACTAGCATGTACACTCCTGGAACGAATTGTCACAATACCAGACAGGATCATATGCTTTATTTACCTAAGTATACAATCATCTCTCCATTATAAGAAATATCACAAATAACAAAACATTTCGAAGTTCAGTTAAAGATCTTTTAATCGAAAAAGCCTATTATTCGATCTATGAATTCTACTGTGATACGCAGTGAATTATTATTACTTGAATTTTAAATATTTGCCCCAAGGCAAGTATGTTCATTAATGTTTGGTTGGTGAAATTTTGTTGTTTTTTGATTGTATTTCTTATATTCTTTGACTTGTATTTATTATATGTAAACATGCTTTGTCAACAAGATCTATTATCTTTGACAATAAAGTATAATTTGACTTGACTTGATACTTCCCGGCTTAGTCCGTAACTTTCAAAAAATCAAATGCTTTAGCCACAATGCTTCGTGTCGAATAACGTGAATAACCCTGTATGTATACATATTAATTATGTTTTTCCACCACTAGCTATAAATCCTACCATCATTTACTCATTTTCGGGGCGTAAAGTGTGTTTTTACTACCAAGGTAGTCTAGTCAATGAAGACATAGCAACCTCTGTTGTAATTAACCTAAATGCACTGTTCTTATCCGAGATTCGCAGAAATGGAACTGGAATCTACTAGATATTTATCAATAACGACTTGTCATAATATGCTGTCATGGTCATGGCTAAGAATTGAAAATAAGTGCTTTCATAGTGACAATAGGTCCGTATTTTGGTTTCACAGAACTAAAATAATTGAAATATATTGCTAGAGATTAAAAAAATGTAATATGGTAGTAAAGAATATTATTACCAGGGGTCCTTATATCCCTCGGGTGTGTTCTCTGGGTAATAATGATGTTCTTTACTACCTTAGTGTATAAATAACTATTACACTCAGTTCCAAAAAAAGTAGCGCACTTGATATTTGACCTATCTTCTTTTAAAAAAAAAACAAGAAATAGTAGGCCGATTTTTTTTCATTTGTTGGTAGGTAATGCATTTGTCTTTGAAAAAAAATAAAGAGGTGAAACTTTTTTCAAAGCCTCCTTGATGGTGGTGGAATAACTCGAACCATGATTTATTCTTGATTTTTGACTCACCCTGTGTGTTAATTGAGTAATGGCATAGAAAGAACTTACACCCTATACGAAAGAGGCTTCTTTTGCGAGCATTTTGTTTTTTTATTCATTGATTTATCTGTAAAATTTTTCGAATTACAGCTTTTTTTGCTGAATCCTTGCAGATTACCAACTTTCTGAATTTATCGAGAAACAATTTTCTAATGAAATAAACTGATACCAATAATTTTAAAAATCATTTTTATTAAACACAAAATTATAAATTGGGATGACTGCTTAATATCGTGTATTGCCTCCTCTAGCAACTCTAAGAACTTCTAATCTACGAGGCATACTGGAAATTAAGTTGCTTATCGTTTCCATTGGTATACGATCCCATTCTTCCACTAATGCCTCTGCCATTTCTGCGAGACTTTCCGGA